CCCCACAGTGGAATCACCAACCCAGTGTACCCCACAGCAGAATCACCAACCCAGCACACCCCACAGCAGAATCACCAACCCAGTGTACCCCACAGTGGAATCACCAACCCAGTATACCCCACAGCGGAATCACCAACCCAGTGTACCCCACAGCGGAATCACCAACCCAGCACACCCCACAGTGGAATCACCAACCCAGTGTACCCCACAGTGGAATCACCAACCCAGTGTACCCCACAGCAGGAATCATCAACCCAGTGTACCCCACAGTGGAATCACCAACCCATTGTACCCCACAGCGGAATCACCAACCCCGTGTACCCCACAGTGGGAATCACCAGCCTAGCACACCCCACAGCAGAATCACCAACCCAGTGTACCCCACAGTAGAATCACCAACCCAGTGTACCCCACAGCGGAATCACCAACCCAGTGTACCCCACAGTAGAATCACCAACCCAGTGTACCCCACAGCAGGAATCATCAACCCAGCACACCCCACAGCAGGAATCATCAACCCAGTGTAGCCCACAGCAGAATCACCAACCCAGTGTACCCCACAGCGGGAATCATCAACCCAGTGTACCCCACAGCGGGAATCACCAACCCAGCACACCCCACAGCGGGAATCACCAACCCAGTGTACCTACCCACTGTGGGAATCACCAACCCAGTGTACCCCACTGTGGGAATCACCAACCCAGCACACCCCACAGCAGAATCACCAACCCAGCACACCCCACAGTGGGAATCACCAACCCAGCACACCCCACAGCGGGAATCACCAACCCAGTGTACCCCACAGCGGGAATCATCAACCCAGTGTACCCCACAGTGGAATCACCAACCCAGTGTACCCCACAGCGGAATCACCAACCCAGTGTACCCCACAGCAGAATCACCAACCCAGTGTACCCCACAGCAGAATCACCAACTCAGTGTTCCCCACAGTGGGAATCACCAACCTAGTGTACCCCAAAGTGGAAATCAACCCAGTATACCCCACCGCGGGAATCACCACCCAGAACACCCCACAATGGGACCCAGGCAGACTTGGACTTTCTTCATCCTCACCACACAATAGAGTGTTTAGACCATTTCCTTTCTTCTAAAAATCTCCAGGCAAAGACAGGAGCCATGTAACATCATTGTGCAAACTGAATTTTACATATATCAAATCTATTAGTCTTGTGGGTATGTGTGCTGGTACTGGAGCCTGAATTCAGGGTCTTGAGCTCTTGGTTGGCACTCTACCATTTAAACCATACCTCCATGTCCATATGTCAAATTATTGACATGACAGTACACTGATTTCTTTTAAATGAGTGGTAGGTATGGTTGCACACACCACAGAGGTGGTCAAGAACACAGTTCTTCTTAACTTCCAGCAAGAGAGAAGACAGGAGCCAGAAGCAGGCTGTGACTCCAGCAATGGGGATGGCCAGGACAAGGAGCCACACAACAAGGGAAGAAGATACGGAGCCCTGGGCCAGTGTGTGTCTGGTTGGGAGGGTGCTGCTGGGCCTGGGGACGGCTGGGGTTCCAGAGCCAAGATGGGGCGGTCCAGCCACATGCATCACTCACAAGGAGCCCGCATGTGCATGCCCTGACTTGGGCTCTGATGCCAGGTGAGGAAAAAGACAAGACCAGACTAGGGCAGGCCCATCTGGGGACCAAGTCCCTTTGCCTAACATGGGATTCCTGGGGATAAGCAATTTCCAGCACTGTTGTTTCAACTGCTGGGAAGTTGTCCTGTAGGACTTCCTCTGCTTTGCCTGGCGGGAAAAGAAAGGGAGGGAAGGTGGCTCAGTGGTAGAGTGTTTGCCTCCCATGCATGAGGCCCTGTGTTCGATTCCTCAGCACCACATAAGCAGAAAAAAACCAGAAGTGGT